TGGGAAAGTAAAAAACCGGTACTTTGTGTAATAGCCTCAAGGATTCCTGTAGCAAAGAGAGATCATTACTTTTTCCTTATTTTAAAAACAAACAAAAACCCCAAAACCTGGCAGATGTTGCATATGATGAGAGATGGGTTGGCTGTGTATTGCAGTTCTTCAGATTCAGGAGCTGCACTGAATCCCACCACTGAAATCTATTTTCTGTTTTCTGACAGCTGTTTTTGCCTTTTACTTTAAAAGCAGATGGGGAAAATGCAAAGAAGAGCTGTCAATTTTATTACCATGTATAATCAGCATCTGTGCAATACATCAGACTCATTGCATAGCTTACACTTTCTTCTCTGTAGTAAAAATTCTTGTGGGATTTCTTGACAAGCTTCTTGCAGGCTTTTTGTAAAAGAGTAGATGCTGGAATTAAAAGTATAAATTAATTAAGTTCTAAAGCCACTATCGTATTGACCAAATTTACTTAATTAAGAGGCTATGTTCTGATTGTTCCATTATAAAGTATATGGCTAATTTGCTGCTCCATAGTCAAATCAGTGTTTTCTTAAGGAAGGGGTTTTATTTCATTTTTACTAAATGCTTTTTTTTCTTTAGCTAGATGTCTAACCGCTTAATGCACATCTATGTGCAGCACATCTCTATGCAGTATTTTTTACCTTTCTCTACTGAGCAGGCTTGGTATATTGAACCCCATCTGCATGATTTAAAATAAAAATGATTCCGTAGAGAACAGGGTGTTCTTCCTTCCCAGTCTGCCTCTTTCCTGGTGCAGAAGTCTTTCATAGAAATGACTTTTTATAGTAGGAAAACAAGCTAGTTTAAAAGTGTCAGTATAAATAAACATGTTGTCTCTGTAAGTGCGGAAGTAGTAACTGGTAATGACATGCTCCAGTCTTATATTAGAGAACAGCATCCTCCTGGAAAGTGTCAAGTGATTTACATGTCACAGAGCTCTCAGGGGACCGGGTGGGAAGAATCCGTCTACTGGCTGAGGAGCTACTTTGATTTGATTTGACTAGGTTGGAAGTCACAACTGCAGAAGCACCTTTGTTTCTCAGAATAGTAAGTGGTTGTACATTACAGTGTCTGCAGTGATAAACAGTGGGGAAA